TTCCATTTCTGACTTGGTGTGAACGATTTTGGGCCTTCATGGTAACCCCTGCAAAAATGATTATTTTTATTTTTATCACAATCATAACCACGCCATCATCTTCGACCACGAAAAGATGTGACATTTATTTCTAAAAAGATTTGTTGGCTAGTTGTACGAGACTCACAATTCTTCATTAGTAATTCATTATTCTCTTTAGCAAGTAAAATGCATGCTATGAGTTCATTATATATCTTGAATCCATATTATCTATATTGTTGTTGTAATAAAATATTTGATGCATAGAATGTGGAATATTTCTCTTATTTTTTTTGAATCCGGTACAGGCACCATTGAATTGTATTCGTATACACTCTTAGAATATTAGAATCGAATGCTGAATCATTCATGTCTAACCTTCTCAAGAATTATTATTATTATTATTATTATTATTATTGTAATCAAACCTAGTCTTTAAATTTTTTTCACAATTCAAGAAGTCTAAGTTAAGGGACCTAAATTACTATATTAAGGCCACTGTAGCATTTTAGCTCTTTGTAGGATTTATTTGGCATCAAAAAAAATAAAAAAATTATTATTATTACAACTACTAGATAGTTGATTCAAATCAGTGACTTTCACTCCCTTAAGGTAGGATTAAACATTTTAGATAGACCTGTAGATCTAAACGAATCCAATAAAAATATATACATATAGGCATGAATATAATGAGAAAAATACTACTGATATCAATTAATATCCCAAGTGTTACTGCCACAATTTTATGCATGAACTTCAGGCTCTAAAAATTAAATTGTGATCTTCTAGTATCACAATAGCTCACAAACTTCAGCTCTATAATTTATAAATAATTTACAAACTTAGGGTCTAATGTGCTATATTTGTATTTCAAGTGCTTAATTTTTTTTATGTTCTTTAGGAACCTAATTTATATCAAATTTTTATGTACTTCAGGTACACAATTTATGTATTTTAGACACTAATTCAAATATAATGACTATTAAAAAATAGAACAATAAACATCCACATCATGTTATTCTCATAACATTTTTATGTGTTAATTAAAACTAATAAGTCTATATACCTGATTTCACTTTTAAGATATGGAATATTACTCGGTTGTGACTCGACTGACTAGCTCTCATGCTAATAATGTATTACAAACAACTAGTTCAAAAAAACGTATAGAGAGATAGAGAAAATATTGAGAAATAAAGATATATATATTTATAAACAAATTATATATATATATATATATATATATATATATATATATATATATATATATATATATATATAAAACAAGTAAGTGTTTGAAATTTATCACATACATATTTTTTCCCTCAAAACTATCTCAACACATATTTCAATCACATGTTTAATCATTTAATATTTATTTAATACATTATCTATACACAATAGTATACATATGTTGAGAAAAATTATCAAATTTCATATTTTTGTCGATATTTTTTAAAAAATAATTGATAAAAATAAATTTTAAATGATGTAATTAAATAAATGAAGGAAAGAAAGAAAAAATTATTATTTAATGTAGTGGGATCAATTTTTTAGACACTCAAATTTTATGTTTTATCGTGCCTTCATATACAAGTTATGACTAGTATATATATATATATATATATTACTCCTATATTTAGTGTATTTTTCATTTAGCATGTTTCAAGACCGTTGGTGAGAGACAACACAATTAAAGGGAGACAAGGAGGTGGGTATGTGGTGGTACATCCACCATGTGCTTTCATTTTCAACACACAAATCATTATTGTAATTTCTAGTAATTATATTCTACTCATGTAGCTTTAGAAATTATAAATCTATTCGATTAATGGCGCTAATGAACTTTTCAATTTTTTTGTGGCTATCGAACTTATAGCTCATCAATTTCTCAGTTGCGTTAATTAATTAATCAACCATAATATATCATTAATTATATCTCAAAAATATAGAGTCAAAACTCTAATTACGTCAAAATTAAATAAAAATAGTCTCCAAAATCTACAAATTAATGATCTCAAATTATATGTTACAACAATAATATTAAAAGTTATAAATTTACATCAACTTCAATCCTTTCCTCCGAACGCATCCTAAAAAATATTAAAAGTGATAAAATATAATATACAACAGAAAATAGTATACTCAACAATAACATTACGAAAGATCAAATACCAAAGAACTCAATCGATAGACAATCATGGACAACAGAATCAAGAATCAATTTCGACATCTAACATAGCTTAACTGCTATTAAAGATAACATCATACTCGATTTATCTTGGTGACATGACAAGTGACACTTTGACATATAAATCTATATTCATATTGAACAATCACACCTCGCTAGACCATAATCAAATCATGTAGAGCCACAATCATATTTTACAAAATGTATCTCACATACATTTTGTACATGTACCAATCAATCCCAAAGTATTAAGCCCAAAATACAGGTCAATTGAACAAAAATTTCAGAATCTCATATCAACCAAAAATAATCAATCAAAATACAAATTGAGATAATCAAATGATACTCTTTGTAAAGAGATTGAAAGACAAAGCATAATGCATATTTTATCCCGTGATAAGAATTTAATTAGCAATAAGATTAATTAGCTTGTCAATTGTATGTGTTTAGCAATTCAATTGCATGTCCGGTATAGCCATGTATTCGGCAATAAGGTTGCATGTGCCGGTGGTGTAGCCATGTGTTCAACAATAAGATTGCATGTGCCGTCAACAAAGGAATTGCATGACTTGTGTTCAGCAAGTTGTTCAACAAAAAAGTTGCATGTGTTGTGTTTATAAGATGATCCTTTGGATGTTAAGAGTTATCATGAGGGTTTATCTCATGATAATCTCATTTTTGTCTCCAGTGAGTGTTTATCTCAAGTGATGATTTATCTCAAGTGGTGGTTTATATGGTATGTGAGAGGAGGACTTATCTAGAGAAAGCTCCTTTGATTCAAGAAGATTACTCCATTCAGTCAAGGGAATTATCACAACCTGATCCTTGGAATATCTCTAGTTATCTGATACAATTTATTTTATGCATTTTTATTAATGTACTGGCATTTATACCAATAAATAAATCTTGGCTATGACTATGTTTTTGGGTCGTAAGCCTTCTTACATTATTCAAATTCACAAAATTCTTCAGCCCGTATCGCAAAATTATCACGGTATATCGATAATTTTGATCACCACCATATTTAGAACAACATATAACAATTTCATAGAACTCAAGACTAAAGTCCCCGTGTAATTTTGAACCCAAAACCTAGTAATTTTTCTTTTTCTTATTTTTCTTCTATTTTTATTTTTAAATTTTTTTTTTTTGGGAGGAGAGGGGAAGGGGGACTTGAACTCTTAACCTTAACAAGGCAAAACTTTTACAAAATAAAAAGTATCATTGGACCAAAGACCCTTTCTCTCTCTTTTCTTCCTTTCTTCCTCCATGTTGTTAAATAGTCTGATAGCTTTATTTATAAAGGGAAAATGTTATTTGGACCTAAAAATCTGACATAATTTATTGACCTAATGACGTGGCTTCATTGGAATCATTGAATTAACACCAAATTCTAATATTTGATGAAACTCACATTCAATTCAAAGATCATAATAAATTAGATTAACAAATTAAATCAAAAAAACATTGCTCTTTATAAAGTGGAAAGACAAGACCTCCAAGCATCTCACTTCTCCATGTGTTTGGCATGCATGGTGAGATCATGGACACTTGTCCATTTTTTTTACACCAAAACACTCTGTCACAATTATTTACATACATTTATTTCAGTGTGACACTTGTCATCTTTTTTATAACATTATATATTTCTAATTAATGGATTTGGGATTGATTTCATACAGATCATTAAATTCTAGCCTCCTTCAAAACAATCCGTTCTCGAAATTCAGTTAGTCAATTGATAATTTTTTTTTGTTGTGTACTCCGATACCATTTTCACTCATAATTTTGACACAAATTCCATCGGATACATCCATGTAACATAAACTAGTTAACTCCGTCTTCACAGTACTCAGACAAGATCTAAAGTCTATGCTTAAAGTCTATACTCTGATATCACTTTGTAACGGATATCAGAGCATCAATTCACTAATCCCCTACGTTTACACACTTACAATGATAATTGATAGATTCACTTCCCCTATGACCAATATAAGTTCTGACATTTAGGCTTTGATCCCACTTTGTAACGCCCCGATTTCTCAAATACATTAATTAATTAATTAATTAACCACAATATACCGTTAATCAAAACTAAATAAAAATAGTCTCCAAAACCTACAAATGAATGTACTCTGATGATGCACAAATTAGTTTGCACATCATTAGTCAAGTTATAGTATAAAATGCAGTTAGTAGAAGAAGAGAGAAGATAGGATTTTTAGTGGTTCGGTCAATGTGACCTACGTCCACTTTGAATGGCAAGGGTCGTCGGAATTTAATTATCTCCGACTTGGAAAGAGAGCAGAATGTTACAAGATTTGAGAGAGGAGGAGAGAGTTATGCTCAAATGAATGAGATGCCCCCCAAGTGTTAGAGGGGCTTACATTTTATAGTAGCTTGGTGTAGTAATTGAATTGCTAGTCTGACGGTCATTATGGCTTAGGATCGTTTTATAGTAATTAGGGTGACCTATCATCTTCTTGACGGGCGAGGTGTGACGGTTGGTGTGCTCTCCAAAGGACTTGATCAAGGATGAAAGAGGTTGACTGAGGCTCCTAGATGCTCCTTTGGTGATGAGGGTGAGGCTCCTAGATGCTCCATTTGGGCGAGCTGACCAATCTATTGAATCACTGTCCAGCGTGGTGGGGGCGAGCAGATCAGGGAGAGAAGAGTTGTGTAGGCGCCCATAGGCGCTGATCTGGACAACCTGGGCGAGCTGTCTGGGCGCAAGAACAGCCTAGGCGAGCTGCCTGGGCATGTGAATTGCTTGGGCGAGCTGCCTGGGCGCATGAATAGCAGGATTGGCGCCTCCGATGCACGAGACCAGCTGGGCGAGTCATTCCAATTGGACAAACAGGTTTTTTCAGGCGCTGATGGTGGTGTAGGCGAGCGAAAAGGTGGGCAAGGGCGAGCAAGCTTGGTGACGCGGACAAGGGCGAGTAGCCTAAGCGCTCCAGTCCGCTGGGCAAGCCTGAGGGGGTATCGCAGGCTATCTTGGGGGCCACTTTAGGCACTATTTTGAGCAGCAATTTGAGCTCCAGCCTAGGCACTAAAGAGAAAGCCTTTCACGAGCAGGAGGACTCCTATTTGGGCGCTTGTTTGGGAAGCTTGTTTGGTGAGGAAACAGCTTCGGGTGAGCAAGGGACTAAGAAGCAGCTTGCAATGGACACTTTTGGTGGTGGGAGTCTAGCTCCTCCAAATGTAACTTCTCAAAATCAAATTCCTTGAGGCCTTTCTGGCAGCGGCTTGGGCAAAGCTTTACGCCCTCGCGCCAAGAAGCATCGAGGCAAGGTAATCCTCGATGACGATGGGTCAAAAGTAAGTACTATCTCCAGCACTTTAAATTCAAACGATGATATTTTACAAATTGTTTCCACCTATCACATTCCTCTGACTGTGCTGTGCCGTCGAGCCGAGATGGGTGAGCCTGCATCTGACGATTCTTCTAGTGACATTGCCATTTATGAGGAGATGCTGGAGGCTGGGCTTAGGTTCCCCATGTCTCATTCTATTTGTAGCATTCTCGAGTACTTTTCCCTCTTCCCGGGGTGATTGTCACCCAATGGATAGAGGATTTTGTTATACTTTCTAGTGTTGTGGAGGAAAATGCATCATGAGGATGCTTCTCCGAAGGAGTTTCATGGAGCTTATTCCTTGAGCGAGACCCCTGCTCCCAATCGGGGTTGGTATTACTTTACCACGAAAGACAAACTGATCACTGGATTGAAGTCCAACTATCATAGCTAGAAATCTCACTTTTTATTTGTTGGTGGAGAGTAGGCAGCAGAGGCGGATAGGACTTTGATACCGAGTGGATGGAGTGTCCCTAAAAAACTCGGTATGCCACACACTTACTTTCTCTCTTTTATCTTATTTTTTTTTTTTTACTCTTCATTCCTCTTGCAAATCCCCCGGACCAAGAGTGGAAGCTGGAGGCGGTGAGAGCTTATCCTAAAAAAGACTTTGGAGTCCTTATGTCCAAAGATGGTGGTGCTACCCCGAAGTCCAGTGGCTCTTCTTCGAAGAGGAAAAATGAGTTAGTTCCTTTGCAACTTCTCTTTTACTTGGTGTTTTCCATCTAGGTAACACTTTATTTGCTTTGCAGCTATAGACAAGAAGAAGCTTAGGTCTCGCCTCTCTGATAGGAGTTCTCCTCCTTCCAAGGTGGCGAAGAAGACTTCCAAGTTGATGACGCGTGGCGCCTTTCAAGTGACCTTGCCGCCCAAGGCGTGCTCTTCTCAACCACCTCCTCAAGTGGCACCTCGGGCACCTTCCCATAAAGTGGCTCCTCCAAAGGCGCCTCCTCAGGCAAAGACTCCCTCAATTGGACCTTCCACTATAGAGTCTCGTTTGTTGGTCACACCTTTTGCCCCTCGTTCAGCCACCCCTCCTATGGGGAACCCTGGCGGAGTACCTTCTCAGATCTGCTCTATATTAGGTAATGCACTGGTCATCAAGGATCGGCTTGGGTTATTTTTGTGCAAGAAGGATGTGGATGAGATTGGAGCCTTGGGTACGGAGGGAATTCTTAGCTCTTTCCTAAAAAGCTGGGCTCAAGTAAGAGTTTATTTTCTCTCATTTCTCCCTTCCGTAAATGTCTGACCTTATTTTGCCTTCTGTTTTTTTCCAGGCTTCATCAGCATCTATGTGTTTACTTTCAAGGATCCTTCTTTATCACAAGCTGAAACATGATCATGAAGTTGTGCAAAATGATCTTCGTGCTGCTCAAGAGAGGATAGCCGAGCTTGAAGGTGCTGGCAAGATTTATGACGTTGACCTTGTGGCATCCCGTAAGAGGGCAACTGGACTTGAGGCTGAGCTTTCGGCGATCCATGGAAGGACGGCCAGACTCGAGGCTGAGCTTGCTGAGGTCCATAAGAGGGTCACGCTCAATGAAGCTGAGCTTTCGGCAGCCCATGGGAGGGCGGCCACATTCGAGACTGAGCTTGTGGAGGTCCGTGAAAGGGCCACACTTAGTGAGGCTGAGCTTTCGGCAGCCCATGGAAGGGCGGCCACACTCGAGACTGAGCTTGTGGAGGTCCGTGAGAGGGCCACGCTCAGTGAGACTGAGCTTGCAAAGACCCGCGAGAAGGCCATGCTCAAAGAGGCTGCCCTTGAGGCAGAGGTGAAGGCTGCTCAAGAAAGAGCTTCTCGGGCTGAGGCGAACCTGGAGAATGGTGTTCTAGATGCTTTCATTGATGGTTATGAGGAGCTCCGGGGAAAGATTTTTGCTGCCTTCCCCGACATTGATGTCTCAGGCTTCTTGCCAACTAAGGATAGTGCTGGGAGCTCTGATGGTGCCGAGTTTGATGATGACGAGGAAGTGGAGGATGACGACCATGAGAGTAGTTAAAGTGCTAGAGACTTTTTAATTTTAATTTGTCTTTAGGAAATCATTTTGTGGTCCAATTTTTGTAAAAGTGGTTTTTGCCACTGATGCTACTTTGAAGCTGAGAAGTTGAATATGAAAATGCAAAGGTTTTTTTTTTGAAATAAACCTCTAAAATTTTATTCATTTTTAAAGCAATATCAGGTAATAGCCCCACAAAAGAGTACAAAAAATAATAAAACCAAGTCTCTAACTTTTTTACTTTCTACTCTCAATGTGTCATTGGTAGTACCTCTTCAAGTGCTCCGCATTCCTTGGATGGGGTAAGATCTTCCCCTCAGAATTCTGGATCTTGTAAGTGTCTAGCCTCACCACCTCTGTTATGAGGTAGGGTCCTTCCCAATTCGGTCCTAGTTTTCCTTCGCGTGAATCCTTTGTGGCGAGGATCACTTTCTTGAGAACCCAGTCTCCTGGCTAAAAGGAACGAGACTTCACCCTCGAGTTGTAGTACTTTGCCATACGACGCTTATACTCCGCGTTGCGGACCACAGCCATCTCCCTTGCCTCCTCTACCAAGTCAAGGTTGATGCGGAGTCCTTCCTCATTGGTGTTGGGGTCATGGTGTTGGACCCGTAGAGAATGCACCCCAATTTCCACAGGAATAACTGCCTCAGTTCCAAAGGCGAGGGAGAAGGGAGTTTCTCTAGTTAGAGCTCTTGGTGTGGTGCGATAGGCCCATAATACCCTTGGGAGCTCGTCAACACAAAGACCCTTCGCCTTTTCGAGCCTTGTCTTTAGATTGCGCAGCACCGTTCTTACCATGACTTTCGCTTGTCTGTTTGCCTGCGAGTGCACCGAGCTGAAATGAGGCTGCTTTATCTAAAGGTCATAACAGAAGGAGTTTAGGAGTTTGTTGTCAAACTGATTGGTGTTGTCACTTACAATGGCATGGGGTATCCCAAAGCGGCAGACTAGGTTTTTTCAAATAAAATCTTTGACATTTGCATCTGTTATTTTTGCTAAGGGTTCGGCCTCCGCCCATTTAGTGAAGTAGTCCACTGCTACTACCACGAACTTGCACTGTCTTCTGTTAAGAGGAAGGGGGCCCAGAATGTCAATGTCCCATCTGGAGAAGAGCCACGGACTTGTGATGACCGTGAGTTCCTCTGGTGGCTGCCTGGGCACAATGGCAAAACGCTGACATTTGTCGCACTTCTTGGCCAATTCCTGAGCGTCCCTTATCATATTAGGCCAGAAGTAGCCTTGTCTGAGAGCCTTGTGGGCAAGGGACCGCCCTCCTAAGTGATTTCCACAAACTCCTTCATGGATCTTCCGTATTGCATAATGAGTTTCTTCAGGTGATAGGCATCTCAACAATGGCAATGAGTAACCTCTTTTGTACAGGGCGTCTTGTAGGATAGTACACTTGGTGGCTCTCATCCTGAGCTTCTTAGCTTCTAGAGGGTCCTCTGGCAATGTGCCTTCTTGGTGGTATGCCCTTATCGAGGTCATCCAGTTTGACTCAGCAGATGCACAGTTGACACTTTTGGCCTCCATGTCTAACTTGCTTGGTCCGAACTGGTGACCAATAAATGCCGATTCTCCTGGTAGGGCTTCCAAGGATGAGGCAAGCCTAGCCAGTGCATCAGCGGCCATGTTGTCTTCTCTCGGGATGTGACAGATCTGGAAGTATTGGAACTTTGTGATTAAGCTTTTCACCATGTTGAAGTATTCTTGCATTCTGGTTCCTTTTGCTTCGAACTCGTCATTCACTTGATTAACAATCTGTTGAGAATTACTATAAGTGGCCAGGTGTTGTGCCTCCATTTTAGCTATCAATCTTAATCCAGAGAGGAGGGCTTCGTATTCTGCCTCATTGTTGGAAGCAGTAAAGTGGAGCTTCACTGCATATTTGAGGGGAGTACCGTCGGGGCTGATCAAGATCAAGCCTGCTCCTTTTTCCCCCAGTAGTTAAGGAGCCATCTACATAGAGCTTCCAGAGTGATAAAAAGGAGGGCTCGGAGAGTAAAGTGGGAGTCTGGATGCCAAACTAGGCGTCTGGGAGTGCCTGGGCCCCTAAGGAGGAAGGCTGGCTGCCTGAGGGGGAGAGTTGGGCGCCTGGAGGATCCTGAGCGCCAGGCTGAGTACCAGGAGGGGCCTGGGCGCCAAGCCTTGACGCCTGGACACTTGTGCTATCCTGGGCACTTAGTTCGGTTGCCTGATTATTCTTGTTAAGTGTCCGAGTACCCTTATCGGGCTCTTGATCACTTCGCATGTCCAGACTCTGAAGTGTGGAAAGCTCATTGGCCCCCTCCTCTATTAGCGTAAGCTCAGTAATAAAGTCTGCCAATGCTTGTACTTTGATGGCCGTCCTTGATTGGTACTGAATGTCGAACTCCCCTAGTTCCACTGCCCACTTGAGGAGTCTCCCTGATACATCTGATTTTCTCAAGACTCTTTTTAGAGGTTGATCTGTGATCACAACAACGATGTGACTCTAGAAATAATGTCGAAGACGCCTAACTGTTGTGACGAGGGCGGGCGCTAGCTTCTCCAACCCTGAATATCTGATCTCTGCTCCACGGTAGGCCTTGGTCACATAATAAATAGGCTTTTGTACTCCATTATTGTTCCTGACGAGGACGGAGCT